CTCATTCCACCTGCACCTCAGCCACTGTGTGGCAAAGGACCCCGAGGATCTGGAGACACTTACTTGCCCGGCTGCATCGGCTTGTCCCTGATGTATGTGTCTGTCTACAAACCTCCAAAAGGGATGGCTTGGTCTGTAGAAGCAGTGAGATGTGGGAAGGATCTGTCTTATACCCATTATACAGCTGCCCACTTTATGGTGCTTTCTGCTGAGTAACCTTAATTCAAATTCTTCAAGAAAAGAAAGCATAATCTTGCTTTTCTCCATTTTAAGCCCAGCTCTACTTTGTTTGGAGGTGGTTATGAGAAGAAGCACTTGTTCTAAGCTACAGAGTTTAACGTTTTATTTTGCATTTGAGGTAAGTATGGGTCCTCTCCAATTCTCTTACTGATGCTTTTGGAGAGTTTATATTTTATATGAGGCTGGATCACATCAAATAACTAAAACACGTTTTTTACCCAGCAACAGTTTCTAACTACTGCTTAACTATAAAACTGAATGAGGAATTAGATGGGCAGTAGAATGACAGAGAGTTCAACATAGACATTCAAAATGAAAAATAAACTCACCCAGGAGTGGAAGGGAGGAAAACAACAACATATGCAACCCATTTTATAATTCAGGACAGTCTTGAACATTTCAGCTATTGCTTCAGCTTGACAGAACTAAAGCCAGAAAAAGACAGATTACCCAAACTCCCCAGCTTTAGGGTTTGTATGAAGAGAAGGTGATTTATTTTGTTGACTTTCTCTACTGAGCTTATTTTCTGATTTGTTGATGTATAATTATGACAATGGTTCCATAGGTCTAATGTAAAAAGCCTTTCATTTCCAGGTATCACTTTCAAGCTGTCATTTCACAATATGCCATCCCTAACCACTCGTCCCTGCCTCCCCATATTGTACCACCTCCACAGTTGTGTCAACACAACTGTTTGTAGAACGGCAATCTTAACTGGATCACTGAACTGATTTGGATTAAAAATAGCATTTGCTTTGGAGGGGATAGGGCGTGGGAATGAGCAACTGGGGGCAGAAAAGGGCCAACTGAGATGGGGGGAGGAGAAAGGATGGGAACTCATTAAACTATTCTTACTGCTGAAGTTGAGCTATTGTGAAACTGTGAGTTCATACTCACCTTTTAGCTATGCTTTTGGGCCATGCTTTTCACCTAGTATTAATCAAATTAGACACATTGAACTCTCATTCCCATTACTTTTAATGCAAACAAGGGGACAAATTCCGTGAAGAGCTTATGAACCATCATTCAAGACTACATCCATTCCATCTACTGTTCATACTGCACCAGGTGAGTCAGTAGCAAACAATGCTACCGCAAATGTCTAACCCAGACCTCACGGAGGTCAGTGAAGGTACACCTTGCTAAATAAGCAAGAGCCAGGGAGTGAGCTCTAGCCCTGGTCTTAATCATCGCCACAGATGATTTGTTAGCTAGCTCCCCAGCTCTGCACTGGCCTGTCACATCTTGCTCATTCGAAGCAACTCTTATGTAAAAAGGACTAACCTGAAGCAGTGTGGGTACAGGTCAGCGGAGACACATGGGCTTCAAGCCAGTTACTCATTCCTATCCCACTTTTGTTACACAATATTGAGAGACCTGACTGCCCTTCCTTTGCTTTCATCAGGCTTTAGGTCAGGATCCAGAAACTGGAATGCCAGAACGAGTTATTCATACTTGAATTTCACACAAAGACATGTAAGCAACACAAACACATTTGTAGCCCCTCTGTATATTTTGCTTAAAATAGATCTGGAACTAAAGGAATTCAGGGACTGAATTAGAAACTGACTCAATGAAAAGATGATTCCTTCTTGTAAAAAGTCACCATGATTACCCAGTGATCTGGAATAATAATTTAATGACATCAGTATGTCAAGTAAACAATTCCACAACCAAACACTGGAGTGACCCACATGCAATTCCCTTATTTATAGCGCAAGTATCAACAGCACATAAAATTGTAATTAAATATACTAGCTCATTTGCCACAGATTAATCAAATAGCTGCTAAAATCATTGCTAATATGTCATCAGCTTGCATAATGCTTTTGTCATATCTTAAAATATTATTTCATGTATTTATGTCAGCCTTCTCCTAATGAACAATCATTTCCCAGATGCCCTATCAATCCACATAAATAAAAAGCCTAAGTAATTTGCTAACTTGAAGCAGTGAGGATACAGTTAGACTTTTGTTATCAAAACACCCTTGGGATTAGGGCTAGAAGCAAAGTGGCTCTCTTTAATAGAAAAGGATATGGCCTTATGTCCTCTTGTGAAGAAAATCTGCACCAACAAATTAATGTTTCCTAATTTTCTAGTAATTACTCTTTTGCTAGCTGAAGAATAGTTGTGATTTGCAATCTAGCCTGTTCTGTGCTAGGGTACAACCAAGTACAATATCTAAGTTGACAGATCACAGTCATGTTTGATGGAGGAAAAGAAGTCAAGATTTATGATTTCTCTGAATGTCGTGCCTGTGAACACTGTTGATAACGTGGTGGGTAGCAGTTGTGGGCAGAGACATTCAAATGCTCTTACTTAATTCTGCTTAGGCAAAGGTTATTTTTCGACTAGGTTATGATTGTCACTGTCATAGACCAATTAGTGCCCTGTATCTTATCTTTTGCCAAAAGTGCTATGTCATTCTTCATGTACTGTGGCTCCCATAGGGAGCATTTGACAGTGAATAACCCTCCAGAAATAATTAATCAGGCTCAAATTTACCAGGGGAGCTACAGGGGCAATGGGTTTCCTTCTAGCAAAGGATGCCATGGTGTGTAAGCTTTTGCCTCCTCTATTAGAGGCAGAGCAATGTGACTCTGCAAATACTCCTTCTGATCATGGATGTCTTTATCCTGTTAAGAAAAATTATCACTTTTCTCATATTATTCCAATTTTACCCACAGGCACTGGACATGTAAATAACAAAACCAGAATTTACAATACAAAACTCACAATGTTGGTTTTTTTTCACAGAATTAATTTCCAGATTCTAATCAGGTGCAACCTGTATCGTTTTGGAGGAATGAAATCTATACCCTCTGCCTCAAAGAAGAGTTGCAGAAGGGAATGACAGTCTTTGCCTACCTGCAAATGCCTCCACATTTTTATAACATCCAAACAATGCAATCGTAATGGAAAAGATCCAGTGAACTCTGTGTGTTGTATGAGGAGGCACAGAGTTCATTGAACGTGATTTAACAGACTCTTAGAAATGGAAGAAACAGAGCAGGATGATTTTCCAAATTCTGGAACAGAAAGACCTGCAGTGTCTAGAGTGACAAGTGATTTCTGGGCCATGGTTTCACACTACGAAGAGTTTATCTGCAAGATTTTCAGGTCCATGTTCAACCTCAACAGCATGGTGCCACAAACAATTTTTCAGCAAAGCTGAGGGTCTGCTCTCAGCCACATGCCACAGTGCAGGGCAGCAGGAGGAGAAAGGGAAAACAGTACCTAAAGCCAGTGTTCTCACGGCTTTATGCCGTGAAACCACATCTTGATTAATTTTCAAATACTCACATTAGGCAAATGAAAAGCCTAGGAAACACAAACTCTTCTAAAAAATGGGGACCTTTTAATAACAGTTCAGATTAAACTGCCAAAGACTGGCACACCAAAATTCATTAGTCACTCAAGAAAAAAAAAAAAAAGAGTATATTTAGCTCTAGGACTTGTTTATCTCATTCCTAAAGGTAAGGTATGCCAACCAAGGAGTACAAAGATTATTCTTTATGGATTTTGGTCTGTCTCAGGCAAGAAATTTTTTCTTAATTAACTTTTCTGATCTACAGATATCAGTGTCTTCTTGTAGGCATTGAAAAACTCCGTAGGAAAGTGGTGGGTTCCATAAATAAAACAAAGGAATTAAAACCTGCAAAACATTACTGGCAAGACTGACCAGATAGTTTTTAAAGCTGTTGCTAAAGTCATTGCAGACAGCAGCTGAAGTTACTGTGAAATAAATTAATTGTTTTGTGGAGATAGCTGGCAAAAATTATATTCCCTTATACATGGAAAAACAGAGTGAGAACTATTTCTAAAATACCTAGAAGCTGTGGATTTAAGCCAGTTTTCCAGCAAGTTTGTAACTACTAAGATTTATAGAAATCATAGGATGTCCTGTGTTTCTAAATTTATAACTAGAAAAAAATCAGCAAGACTGTCTGGATACATATATTTTGCTTCAAAATTTAGCCACAAAGTAATACTACTTGTTTAGATTCAGGCTAAAAGTTACATGTAAAAACTCTAGAATACTGAATGGGGACCACCATAACCCATGTTCAGGTATCCGTGAAAAGCTCAACACAGATTTATTAATGTTTAAGAATAGTGTTCTCAGTTTCCCCAGCATGAGTCATGAAGCTGAGCACTCAATTATGTAAGACAGCTTTCAGTAAGTATGGAATGACATAAAATGGGTCATTTTAGTTACAAAAACTTAGGACCATTTTATGAAATGCTATGTTGTTTGCTCCCAATAGCTTCAGTAAGTATTAAGGGTTGTCTGTATCTCAGAAATTAGGGCTTGTTTTGCTAAAAGTTATGTTGATAAATTTTATAGGTAGATTACTGCATATTATTAAAATTTATTAAAAGTAAATTGCCAGATATTAATAAGGATCTGGGAGAACAAGGAAAACGAGATGCTCAAGGACAAGATTCCTGGCTGGTGCAAATCAGAACAGTTCCTAGATTTCGAAGAATGTATATTAATCTGTATCTGCTAAAGACTTCATTCTATAGGTACACAAACGCAGACAACACTTCAGTGAATTTATTTTTCCCCTGACAGCATGAACAGTACCGATTCCTCCTCATCCCATCCATTCTCGCTCACAGCAACCTGAACATTCAGAACCTACCCAATGCGATCAAGAGTGGGAAAAACAAAGTCATAAATTATCTAGAATCAGAGACCTGGAACTTTGGGAAAGGAATTTTTGTTCCCATGTTTGCACTTGAGGACTTACCTATTGAGAATATTTTTCCAGTCTTCAAGCAGGAGCTTGGCAGTTTCTTTCTGCAAAGCGGCGCTTTGGCCAGGATCCCCTGACAGCAAGAACATCATTACCACAGAGCGCATAGAAGCCCTCAGAAACCAAACCACCATGCTCACTTCCCCATGGACAATGAATTGTCTTCTGAAAGGTACCAGAGCGGCAAAACTGTAAGTCTGGATAAACAGTGGGCTTACAGAAAAACATGTAGTTTTTCAATGCTTTTACAAATATATCTACAAATATAGGAAAGGAGATGGTGCTCACGTATGTCCCCAAAGGCTAATTCCTCACCAGTAAATCCTGTAGAAGTATGGTGGCTGGTAGAAACCAGACCAGCTTCATGTCTGAAACAGCTTGTGATACAGAGTAATGAGAAGCATAGGCTGAACTGTTAAGAAATGAATGTATTTCAAAGTACATATGTTTCATAGACGAGGTCACTTCAGGAGGGCCTCAGGAGTAAGTTAACAGTCAGCAACTTCAGTAGAGGAGGAGAGGGAAAGCTAAATTGACCTGAAATATCAGGGTGAGTGCTTACATTTTGTGCTCTCAAACTAGCATCTAGGGGAATAAAAAAATTAGCAAGAAGAGTCTGAGAACAGTGGTCCCAAACTTTTAGGAACAGATATGTCTGTTCTTAACCCTTTAATTTTATTTGCAGACTACCCTATGCCCTTTTATTATTCAGGTTCAGGGCAAGAAGTTTAAATGATTCCAAGGACCTGAGGTGGACAACTTACCTCAGCCTTTCATTGCACAGTCTGAAAATGGCTTAATTTTCATCTACTGCTGATTGCCATCTAAAATGTTTTATTTTACAGAGAGCTTATTGGTCTACTTCCAACTGTCTTGAAATAAAGTTGCAGGGATGGCTTAAGGTCAAAGTCTCAAATAATGGTTTACATGATCAGGATTATTTCTACAAGATAGAAATTTCTAGAAATTTCTTTCTAACCCCTCTCCTCCTGACCACCACTAAGTTTGTAGCTGACATGCTACGAATTTTATTTGCTGTCTTTGGATTTGAGCAGCTATTTTAACACTATTGCTTATATTCTCAATAATTTAAATAGCAGTTCACCCAATTACTCTTTAAAAAGTGTCTTAGCTACCCACCAGATGAGTCCGTCAGAGAAAGCTTTATTTCTCGTCTTGCTTCTTTGCTAAAACCTGACAAAAATTATTAAGAGATAAAGTGAATTCTGATGAGCATTTCTATTCTGTGATATCAGTATTTCACTTCACATTTGATAGAAAAACTAATTATGTATCCTTAATTTAGTCATTCGGAGGTAGATTTTAGAAGGAAAAAATGCATGGATTTGAGAAATGACAAAACACAATATATCACTGAAATTCAGTTAAAGGGTACCAACGTCACACTGTGCAGAGGAGCTGGTAGGGGACACTTTACATTCTGCATCTCGTCACCTGGCATGTGTCAGCATCTTCAAGGTTACCCCTCGTCACATGAGAGGCATCAGGTTCCACTGAGCATGGGGGCTACTATTACAGCAAGCTTAAATCCGGAATGGTTGTCCTCCCCTGTTCGTAACAGTATTTAAAGCAATTGTGCCTATCTTGTGAGCTCTTTGTGACCTAAGGGCTTCTGCTATTTTACAGTCCAGGGTACAGTGTGTGCTGTGCTCTGGAATATCTATACCCCACAAACAGCTGAGACATGAATCGTTCCATAATAAGTCAATTACTTACTACATTACAGATTTTCCCTTGCCTATAGATTTCTTTCTACCCATTTTGGAATACCTAAATCTTTTTGTATACAGCTTTTATTAAACCTAAACCCTGCAGATATATTGTCTCAGTTGCCTTATATATTTTGTATTAAACTATGGTGTAACAATAATAAAAAAGAAATTATTTATCTTTTCTGCAAATTGACATCCGCCTCCCCCTGGAAATATCCAGATATTTAAGAGACTTCTGAACACAGAGTGATCTTGAAAGACTGTTGGCATACAATAAGAGAGTTTGAACTCTGAAACAAAATCACCTTACAAAGTCATAAATTATTGAATATTGCCATTCAAATCACATAGCCTGTTTCTTAAGCTCCAACAAACAGGTCCATTTATCTTTTGAACTCAAAGATCTTTCCAGTACTTAGTTATCATAATATATTCTACATGATTTGGGGACAATCATAGAAGCACAATAAATCCCACAATTTGCAAAAAAAACTCTCCTATTTTTATGTCATGGATAGAAAGAAGTCCATGGGCTGCTTTTCAATGTTACTTACCACCTAGAAGTCCACTGGACATAGTGGAATGATCTTGCATGGAAGTGAAAATATTACTTTAAAGCATGACTTCTCAGCACTAATTTTTGAAGATCTGAAAAAGGCAAACACAGTACTATGCATTAGGAACATATCTAGGTGTGTATATGTTGGGTTTGTGTGATACCATTTATTTGTAAGGCAGATATTGTAATACCATCACTGATGTATCTTGGAAAATTTGTGGACTATATCACATACATAGACACGTTTGTAAGGCTGATAATGGAATGGCTGAGGAACACAAAAATGCAGTCTGTGCTTCTGTGTTAGTGATTTAATGTACCAGAGGAGGTTGGTTTTGATATGTGTTTGCCTTCCTTTTATACTTAGAGACATGATATACAACCAAGCACATCACTGGTGTTCAGAGCAGTTTCCCTCCAGAAGGAATCAAGGTTGAAGAAACACAGAGGGCCACCACCCAGAGCACTTCACCTCCAGCAGTCACCTGCCATGCATACACTGTGTGTGCCATGGACCAACCGCTGGCATGAACTTTACTGTTGTTCTGGGTACTGCTGAAAGGCATTTAAAGAATAATGCAATCATCTGGCAGAGTCAACATGGGTTCACAAAGGGAAATTCATGTTTGACTATATTGGATATTACCAATTTAATTATTTGATATCGTTCTGTGATAAGGTCACCCTCCTGCTGGATGAAGGGAAGGCAGTGGATGTACTTTTTCTGGGTTTTAGTAAGGCTTTTCACACTGTCCCTCACAGCATCCTTCTGGACAAGTTGTCCAGCTGTGGGATGAGCGGGTGAAGAACTGGCTGAAGGGCAGAACTGAAAGGGTTGTAGTGAATGGGGCTACACCTGGCTGGCAACCCATCACCAGCAGTGTTCCTCAGGGTTCAATTCTAGGGCCAGTTCTGTTCAATGTATTTATGAACGATCTGGATGCAGGACTTGAATGCACCATTAGCAAGCTTGGTGATGATACCAAATTGGGAGGTGCTGCTGACTCCCTTGAGAGACAAGAGGCCTTGCAGAGGGATCTGGACAGATTGGAGCATTGGGTTATGATTAATGTGATGAAATTTAACAAGTCCAAATGCCGGATCTTGCACCTAGGCCAGAGTAACACCAGGCACAAGTATAAACTGGGAGAGGAGTGGCTGGAGAGCAGCCCTGCAGAAAGAGATCTGGGGGTGCTGGTTGGCAGCAGGCTCAACGCGAGCCAGAAGTGTGCCCTGGCAGCCAAGAGGGCAAACCCCACCCTGGGGTGCATCAAACACATCATAACCAGCCGTTCAAAAGTGGTGATTACCCGCTATATTCAGCATTGGTGCGGCCTCACTTTGAGTACTGTGTCCAGTTCTGGGCCCCACAATTTAAGAAGGATGTGAAGGTCCTTGAATGCATCCAGAGAAAGGCAAAAAAGCTGGTGAAGGGACTGGAAGGCACATCCTATAGGGAATGGCTAAGGACTTTGGGCTTGTCTAGTTTGGAGAGAAGGAGGCTGAGGGCAGACCGCATTGCTCTCTACAGCTTCTTGAGGAGGGGAAGTAGAGAGGGAGGTGCTGAGATCTTCTCCCTAGGATCCAGTGATAGGACACGTGGGAATGGTTCAAAGCTGTGCCAGGGGAGGTTTAGGCTGGACATTGGGAAGCATTTCTTTACTGAGAGAGTGGTCAAACACTGGAACAGGCTTCCTAGAGGTGGTTGATGCCCCAGGCCCATCAGCGTTTAAGAGGCATTTTCACAATGCCCTTAACAACAGGTTTTAACTTTTGATCAGCCCTGAATGGGTCAGGCAGTTGGACTAGATGATCGTTGTAGGTCCCTTCCAGCTGAAATAATCTATTCTATTCTATTCTATTCTATTCTATTCTATTCTATTCTATTCTATTCTATACTATACTATACTATACTATACTATTCTAAAGTGCAATGTAGACTTATGGTTCTGGAACTGTAATAGATCTCATCAAGACAAAACCCAGTGCTTCCCCTTTGCTTTGCACCAGCTGTTGATGAAGATGTACCACAAGTATTAAAAAGAACTCTACAAATATTAAAAAAACCCCTTCTAAAACACGTTCCCTTCACTTATGTAACACATTTCTGACACACTTATTTGGGCACTCACACACTGCAGCCTTGTCATCTGTAAATTGTGTGGTCTCTCCAAGTTTATTCCAACCTCATGTATAGATGTATGCAGAAAATAGGCAGAGATTGAACATATCACTTCAACAAATCCTGTCAATACCTGATCATTAAGTAAAGGTCACAGTGTGTTCAGTGGAAGCTGAACCAGGTTGGACGGGGCTCTGAGCAACCTGATCTAGTTAGCGGTGTCCCTGCTGCTGCAGGGGGGTTGGACTAGATGATCTCCTGAGGTCCCTTCCAACCCTTACGATTCTGTGATTCTGTGATTCTGTGATTCTGTGATTCTATGAATTGTGTGTGTACATATATCCCTGGAAGTAATCAGGGACAACCAAATAGTAAACCAGTATACATAGAATATATATGACTTTACATAGCATTTATCACCAATCTGGAATACATTGTCTTATATTTCTTGCTAATGTAGACAATAATTCTGAATTTTAGTTAAAGATCTACAGTTCACATTTAAATATGGAGGTGCTTTGAAAGCCAGCTGGTGAAAAAACTAAACAGAAGGTATTTTTATTTCTTTATTTCCTTTAGACAACACAAGAGAATGCAAAGAAAAGTGTCTACAACACATTTTGCACCAGGGTGTACCGCTTCTGCCATGCATTGGCTCA